TGGTCATAATAATCTGGCCACTCAGTGTATATATAGCACAAAGTATATAAATCCACTTTTTTTTATTGCAGCAAATGCCAAAACGCAGATACGGCAACATCATCACTATGTCTCACACTGGATTACTGCACAGATCTAGAGGAATACACAAAGCTCACCAAGATTCAAGGAAGAACACACATGGCTCTTGTATTTACACAATATTTGCTTATCCCGGGTGCAGCTTTAAAATTAAAAGGGCAAACTGAGCACTCCACAAATGGGCTCGCATTGTCATGTGTGGCCGGGGCTATTAAAAAGATTTTTGAAGTAATTTTCCAATCTGTTGTATTAAGACACATTTCCTTTAAAACAAGTCCATTCACAGCACAATGCCTGCTGGAATAATGTGCAGCTTGTTTGGCAGGACAAACCAAGCTAAAGGTTGAGATGTCATCCAAGGTCAGGTGTAATTTCCCAGCTTGGTGCCACCAAAAACAAACCACGGGGGGCCATTCCTGTTTTCCCTCTCTGTAGAAATGGAGTTTAGCTGCATCACTCCCCTCATTTCACCCCTAACGCGCATCGTGCGAGTCTCCCACCAGAAGAATTCTCAGGATGTACAGTGGGCAAGATGGCCGCCGTCTTGTTTTTGGAAAATGCAGGCATTGTCTTGCCCTCTTCATGTATGTTGTGTGTGTCAATACGACACATCAAATTGACAACTGAGGTCTCTCAGCTAAAACATTCCGACATCTGTGTAAACTTGGCGCGTGCCAGGAGCTCTGGTCTCGGCAGGGGCCACCCCGCACGCCGTTATCTCACGCAGCTGCCATTGCGTAATAGTACATAACGTGACATAGCACGAGGCTGCCCGGTGTTATTGGAGCTGCAGGAAAAAACTATAGAGTACAAAATGTTTACAATGATTGTTATTTCTATTATAATAACTCGGCGAATGTTACATTTGGATGTCGTTCTATGCAGGAGATTTCCCTTTCCAATGGCAGCACGGCTTCCTCAAAAGCTGCGCTACAGTATGGGAAATCTGAAGGATGGTCCGCTTAGAGGATAACTAAACCCAAACCCAAAAGTCCTTAGATGTGGTGGCTGCATTCATTTTCTTTTTTCGGTCTAAGAACTTTTTCAGGGAGTACAGAAAATAGCTATCTTTCCAGAAATGCTGAGTCCTCGTCACTTCCTGTGGGCTAAAAGAAAGCACAAACTTCTTTATCTTTCTTCCCCTAGCTGCAGGGGCGTAACAATCGCCTTAGCGAACCAGGCAGCTGCTATGGGGCCCCGGGTCACAGCGGGCCCGGCCAGGACATCCCCCTGATGCCCTGCGGGCCGCCTGGGTCACTATGGCATGTCTGGCTTCTGGCTGTCGCTGGCGGGTGTTACACATAAAAAAAGAATAAAAAAACAAAAAAAAATGTTTAAGTCCCCACCCATACATACACGCATGCAAACATGCGTCGGGGGCGCATACGTGCAAAAAAGACGATTGCGCCCATTGCGCCGCACATGTTGCATATCGCCGCGAACGTCGGAGTGAGAGCAATAATTGTATCTTTCCAACTATCTATGGAATGACACATACTGCTGGGTATCATTGGATGTTTGTTCTCTGTACACATCCATTCCACACGCAGTAGGTTTAGAGGCCCTCCTATACCATCTTTCCAAATCTGCTATCAACCATAACCAAGCAAGATTCATCATGGAGTGCACCGAGTTTACATTAAAGCATAACTATTTTTCTTTCTTAGAAAAATTCTACTTACAAATTAACGGGACGGCTATGGGCGCCAACTATGCACCCAGCAACGCAAACCTCACCAAAGTTTTCTTTGGGCGGTATATAGATGACATAGTCATCATCTGGGATGGCCCACTAGAAAATGTAGTTGAATTCGTCCAACATTGCAACAACAACCAACTAGGCCTCTCCTTCACTCACGTCACTAGCACCACCGAACTCGTTTTCCTAGATCTTGAATTGACCACAAAAAATAACCAAATCATTACCAAAAATCACACAAAACCAACAGGAGGCAACTCCTATCTCCATTATCACAGCTGTCACCATCCCCGCTGGAAAAATTATATTCCCAAAAGTCAGTTTTGCCGACTCAGCGGAAATTGCACCGACAAAACTGACTACTGCTCCTCCAGTTCACTTCTCACCAAAAAATTCCAAGAGAAACAATACCCCAATGACCTGATTACAAATGCCTTCTCAAGTTATCTACAAACGGTCAGAACCGAATCCACTGACCGCAGGCCATCCTCAACCAACAACCAAGTGAGATTCATTACTACCTACAACAATAGCTATAAATCCATTGAAAGAGTCTTACACAAGAATTGGCACATCTTACTCAAAGACCCAAAATTAGGACCCCTTCTGCCAAATAGACCATCTCTAAACTTCAAGAAGAATAAAAACATCAAGAACCTAATTGCACCGAGCAAATTGCTCAAAAAAACAGAAAATAATACAAAAAATGTTCTGTTTGATAACAGAGTAGGGACATTCCGGTGTAAGAAGCCGAAGTGTCTCACCTGTCAATTCATCCATCATGGCCAATCATCATTCAGAGATCACAGTAATAATGTCTATAATACAAAACAATTCATTACATGTACACACGATCACGTGGTATACGGACTGAAATGCCCTTGTGGTTTGATGTACGTTGGACGCACCACACGACCATTACGGAAACGCATTGGAGAACACCGGCGTTTCATAGAAAAGGGAGACACAGAACACAGTGTGCCAAGGCACTTTACTGCTAAACACCACAAAAACATCCACGCCCTGCAAGTGTTCGCCATAGAACACATACCCATTCACCTAACACCCACAGAGCGTTTCAAACGCCTATGCAATAGAGAAACGTATTGGATATACAAACTGAATACCCTAACACCCAATGGATTAAATGAAGATTTGGATATACTAACCATCCTCTAAAATTGAATCTAAGACATATATGGAATCTGTCCCTTTGTCAAAAAGCAAATCCCTTCTTTGAAGAAACATTTAACCCCCCCTTCCCTCTGCAACTTACTACTATATAAGCGATTCCAGCATCCTAAGTAGAACTTCACATCCAAACACACACTCTCCAAATAATAACTGTGTATGGAGAAGTCGGTATCTAGCCACCCCATTGCCCATAGTAACAGCACATTTGTCCAGGACAAGTAAAAGTGCCCTTCTTTTAACCTTTTCATCTAATGGACCAAGGCTCCACTCACAATCTCAGATCACACACAGGAGACGCTGGTTCCCTACACCAGCGGCTTCGAAGCCGTCTATTCATAAGCCTTAGTTTAAACTGTGATATTTAGATATGAATGGGGGGCGCTATTTACATATGACTAAGCCACCACTCATTCTCCCCAAAAAATTTCCGCATGTCGCTAGAGTGTTCGGGTTTCACTTGAAGAAAAGGTGGCAACTCTAATTCCGAATCCCAATGCATCCGAATGTGTCCGAATCTGAATTTCCGTTTCCGAATTTCATTCAAAAACTAAACTGAATCGGACATGTGACTTTTCTGGCCAATCAGATAGGTTTTTTGGTTTCATGCACCTGAATGGGTCTGAATACAAATTTTTGTTTCTGCAACATGGGAGCCATGTAAAGTATATAAATATAATACTAAAGCTGAGGCTCCAAGACCCGAATGGCTTTCAGGATTCAAATTTCCGAATTGCATTTGGGAACTCCCGAATGCCATTCGGGTCTGGGAGCCTCAGATCTAGTAATATATGTACATGGCTCCCAGACCCGAATGGCATTCGGAAATTCGGATCCCAAATGCCATTCAGGTTTAGGAGATTCAGCTTTAGTATTAATATCTGTATATGGTTTATGTGGTATTTGCAAACTCATTCAAAAGTAACGACAATTCAGATTTTGTCTGAATCCGAAACCCGAACCTTACTGAATTTCCCGAATTCCAAAATAACGAAATATCCGGACCGAACTTAATTTTTCCACAGCTTACATGTTTAACCCTAACTATTCATGTTAAATGTTATTAATGTATCACTCGGCTGTAGATCCTCAAATCATCTCAGAATTCATGCCAACACTGTCCTTCCTCCTTAGGTTGAACTCGATGGACATGTGTCGTTTTTCAACCTGACTAACTATGTAACTTCTGGGGGGTGGTTACTTTTGTTCCCCATGGTCCCTGTGCGTGTTGTAAAGTAGTCACCGCTCCAAGCTCACTCCTGTGATGGACTACAATCTCACGTTCAGTTTACCAATTTGCATTGAGATTGTAGTCCATCACAGGAGTGAGCTTGGACTGAATGTCTGTACCTTGGTACGGACATGGACGGGAGGAAAAGTCTGCAGGACCCAGAGCATTGCACACACAGTCTACTGTTACAGTTGCAACGCTTTACTGGCTCCAATACCAAAATGATAATAAATGCATTTTATGAAGTGTACACTTATAATCCTTTTTTTTTTAAGTAGACTTTGTTTTAAATCCGTATTTTTTTACATTTGAGGTAACAGAGTTCCTTTATGGTCATGTGACCCAGTATGGTGTCTCTATAGGACTCTCAAGTTAGTGTTTATTACTATTAAACGCCGCATTTATCCATCAACAAACGTCACAATTCACATTTCTTTTATATAAAAAAACAAAACATTTACCAGTGCATCATCTTTACAATAACTCACAATGGAAAACCAGAAATATTTACATTGAAGAGCCATTTGTTGATTCCAGTGTGACCCCGGCTTCCACAACACGCCGGATTCTATGTGCGGAACCGTAACGACAAAACGAGACCCTGTCATTACCCGACTCCCTCTATGAGTGATGTCTGAGCGTGTTGTGACAGGTTTGTAGAAGAGGAAACTCATCTGACTAGTTCTATCTGCTGATAAGACTCTATATAACAATAGCAAAGTACAAAACGGCCCCCAGAGTCTGTGCGGACCAGATCCCAATAGTTCAGTGCAGATCACACTCCATTGTGTATTGAGGAGTACAGACTCATCGTCCATTACATGGAATTTGTTTGGGAGGATTGTTTGAACATCAATAATAAATACTGCAGAACAGGTTCGATAGGAACGCTTCCAGGTCTTCATCTCCCAATACTCCCATCATAAGTAAACATCGCTATAGACTGGACTGAAGTCTTTGTGGCGGTTTGAGGTAGAAAGGCAATTAGTCCGAAATGATGCGCAGCTCGATCTCTTCCGCTGCGGAGAATAAAAACGAGAAGTTACTTTGTTACATTATTCATTTGCTTCAATGTTTATATTTCACAGATACCTATAAAAGAGATCAGGATCATGTTACAGAGGAATAGAAATAGTTGAAAGTGCCTGCTGCGTACCATACGGTGTTGTGACCAGTGTAGATAAGATTGGTGCTCAGAGTGACCGCCACGGATGGCGCCGTGCAGAACCTCAGGGATGTGAAGATCGGTCACCAACACTTCAAAATGCAAAGAAAATATTGTTTATTGCAAATAACGTCACATAGGTCAAAACAGCCAATGTTCCGGGGGCCACGCAGGGTCCCTTCCTCAAGGTAACACAGTGACTCCTTAAGGAAGGGATCCTGCACGGCCCTGAAACATTGGCTGATGTGACGTTATTTGCAATAAACAATACTTGCATTTTGGAGTGCTGGTGACCGATCTTCACAACAGCTGAATAGAAAAGACACAAGGAAGGGAATTCATCAAAACTGGAGCTGACAAAATCTGGAGCAGCTGTGCAGGGCAACCAATCAGCTTCTATCTCTCATTTTCAAATCTTAACTGAGCAAACTGAAGAGAGAAACGGAATGGTTGCCAAGCGCAGCTGTCACAGATTTTGTCTGCTCCAGATTTGATAAATTCCCCCCAAGCTGATGCAGCTCTGTATTCATTAATACGTCATTAACCCTTTTCCACCAGAGCCGGTTTTGCACATGTTTAAATGTATAATTTAGGTGTGAAAATTGCTTAAATAAGAACCCCGGGCATGTTAAACATTAACCCTTACAATGGGGCTGTTCCCGCACTGCAAGGGTTAAGTGATCGTTTTGGTCTAAATTCTAAAATAAAAAAAGATATACTCCCCTGTTCCCGGGTCCCGCCTGGCCGCTAGAATGATCCCCGAAACCTCTTCTTCCCCAGGCTCCGGCAGTCTCGGGATCCGTGACATCATCACATCCATTCACTTGCATTGGGCGAGTGTATATTTTTTATTTTTGCCTCTAGACTAAGATGAGCGCTTAACTCCTGCAGTGCGGGGGTAGCTCCACTGCAATGGTCATTTTTAATATGCCTGGAGTTCTTCTTTAAAGCCCCCAAAGTATTATATATTTCCTAAAAGCAGAGACCCTTGAAAATAAAATGGTGGTAGCTGCAATTTTTTTTGTCATGTGCGATCTTAGTGCAATCTGTTTATCAAACCCAAATTTTCAGTACAAAATGCATTCAAATGAGTTTTGGTGCACGCAGACTAAATTTGTGTTCAATCATTAAAGCCTAAGCGCCACTTTTCTGGCAGTATGAACCTTTAAAATATCCTGCGCCAAATGAAATAAAAGCCTGTCACCAGTAGCTCTACCGATGGGTTCAGGTAGTTCCTAAAACCGCCACTTTAAGAATCTGTCTCTATGGCTGCAACAGATTCACGAAGAATTACCGGCAGTTCACAGATTGGATAAACTGTGAAAAATTGGATAGTGCTTGCAGCATTTTGATCGCACCGGACCGCAGGCAAAATGTGCCTTGCAATCCCGTGCGGGCGATCGCATTGCGGCCGGAGGGCGCGGCTACGGTGCCATTCACTTCAATGGCCCGTCACGCCCCCTCCTGCCCCACTAAAAAGTGAGCCGGCCGCAATGCGAGGCAGTGCGTTCTGGCCAGAATCAGGGCTGAACGCACTGCAACTGGTGTGAACGGGCCCTAAATCTGATCTGGTGTACAGAGAGCTGTCAGTGCTCAGAGTGGGGCGTGCATTGCTGGAAGCCGTCATGAATCTAACAGCTTCCTGGTCATTGGGTGCAAGGACACCGGGCCGTCAGAGTCCCACCAACCAATGACACATCTTTGGCCCCATTACACTGCCGGCCAGAGATTCCCCAACCGGAGGCTGAATGTAAACAAAGTGGCCGCGGATGCTGGCTGACATCATTACCCAACTATGGCCTGGTCTGCAGGAGACAGAGCATTGCCCCCGGGATACACTCATCTGCAATGCTTTCCTGGCTCCAATGCAAACATGTTTTAAATAAATAAATGCAAATGTTTTTCTTTTATGAATGCGTGTGTATTTCATATTCTTTATAACAAGGTGGACTTTACCTTTAACTATATCTGTAAAAAAAAAGGCAAGGCAACTGGACTTGCTGTATTTTTCTTGAAGACGTTCAAAAAAAGATACAGCAAGTCCAGTTGCCTTGATTGTTTTTTTTACAGATATACCATGTGCTGGATGAATGAGACACCTCCACAGACATTTTACCTTTAACTACTCCGTCAATAATATGAAACTGCGTTCACAATCAATCATGTGCATGAGGGATTAGAAAAAAAGTGTTTTTTGTTTCCTTGCATACGAGAAAGTAAACACAACTT